TTTTTTTTTTTTTTTTTTTTTTTTTTGTCGATGGTGGAGCTTCAAGCTTGTGCAACTGGTTTGGTTAATCCGTCGGCATTATGTGCTGCAATAGACCAAGAATCCAAAGGGGAGAATATGAATGTTATTGCTCGAATGGCGGATGAGTTACACAGAGAGAGACAGAGAAATGTGAAGTTAATGGAGAGAATATCGTTTCTGGAAGCTAAATTGTTACAGGAAAGAGTTAAGGATCCTGAACTTGGTGATGAACTAGTATGATTTCTCAGTTTTAATTTCGTTGTTCTTTTTTTTTTCATTCATTTTGTTTCATGCGCTCAATGGCCATTTTCACTTCCATTTCAGGGCAGTTGTTCCAAGCGGAGAAGCTTCAAGAGGCTTAAAAGAAGCAAAGAGGAAGCAATAATGAAGGATGGAACTCAGTTTTTGTCCCCAAAAGAGGTAAATCTAGAGGATCGATTGGTTAGTTGGATGAGTATGGATGAGACACAGTTTGTGCATTATGAAAAGTTAAAGGAATGTGATAATACTGTAGATTGTGTTGATTCAGACGAAACTGATAATGAAAATAGTTATTATCATGAGGAGAGTGAAATCCCTTTTGACATCAAGGATTGGGAAACTAATGGGAATTCAAGGAGTGTCAATGGTGTTAAACAAGATATATATCATGATTCGAATTCGGAACGTATGGAGAATCAATCTGGTCCTGAAAACAAGCCAACATTTGTAGATGATCAAACAGAAACTAAAGAAACTGGAAAAAAACTAGAGCCTAAAAGTGAAAGGAACGAAACCGAAAACAGTGAACTGTATGATCGAAATCGAAACATCCTGGGATCTGGGAATGATGTAGGATTTGGAAGTGTATCATTGCAAAGAAAGCCTCCAAAGTTAGCGTTCTGTCCTAAAGAAGTGAAGGGAATTATTGAATCAGAAGCTTTGCTGCAGAGAAACGCCCAGTCTCATACCATGAGGAAAATAATAGTGTTTTCATGTCTTGGTATAAGGCATGGCTGTGAAGAGATGTATGAGTTAGACTTCAATCATTTCAGTATTATAAGGAAAGGAGAGCCATTCATTTCTCCTCAAAATCCTGGGGTAAGCAGCTCAAGATTTATTGTTGTATGTTCTGGAAATATCTTGTGTTTCGCCTCGTTACGACGTTAACTTTGTGTAAGCAGCTAAAATGTAGTTTGTTTGTTATTAGGAGCATGTGTTGTATGAGAATCCTGGTGTGAGGAGGAAGATTTTGTATCCCAACAGGCACCACCCAACACTATGTCCTGTTCAAATACTTGAAGAAGAGAAAGCAATGCGACCATTAGATGTTAACTGTCCTTCTTGTTTATTTCTCTGCATCAAATATGGTGGCAGGACGAGGAATCTTCCGCAGAACGAGTAAGATGATCATTTTGTGAGAAGAGCACCGGTGGTTGTTTGAATTTTATGTAAAACATATTGACATGAATTGCGAAATCTCACCTTGGTTGGAGAGGGGAACGAAACATTCCTTACAAGGATGTGGAAACCTCTTTCTAGTAGACGCGTTTAAAATCGTGAGGCTGACGGCGATACATAACGGGCAAAAGCGGACAATATCTACTAGCGGTGGGTTTGGGTTGATACAAATGGTATCAGAGGCAGACACCGGACAGAGTGCCAGCGAGGACGTTGGGACCCCAAGGAGGGTGGATTGTGAGATCCCACATTGGTTGGAGAGGTGGACGAAACAATCTTTATAAGGGTGTGGAAACCTTTTCCTAATAGACGTGTTTTAAAACCGTGAGGCTGACGGCGATACGTAACGAGCCAAAGCGGACAATATTTGCTAGCAATGGGCTTGAACTGTTACAAAGGTGTCAAAGCTAGACATCGAGTGGTGTGCCAGCGAGGACGTTGGGCCCCCAAGGAGGGTGGATTATGAGATCCCACGTCGGGTTGGAGAGGGGAATGAAGTCATTTCTTATAAGGGTGTGGAAACCTCTTTCTAGTAAACACATTTTAAAACCATGAGGCTGACGACGATACGTAACGGGTCAGAATGAATAATATCTATTAGCAGTAAGCTTAAATTGTTACCTGAATTAACCTAATTGACTTGAAGATTGTCACTGATTATGCACAGGTATGTGAGACAGCGAATGGGAAGAAACAAGCTCAAGTCTTTTGGGCCACTCATGTGCAGGATGGCTAGGCTAGCTAATCCTCGCAGTGGGAGCTTTTTCTTCAAAGCATTGGGCATTACCCTTCTCTTCATGGCTGGTTTTCCGGATGACCTTGTTCGCAAAGAAACCAAATACCGTAATTTGGACTTGCTTCAGAAATACTACAGGTATTGCTATTGCAATGGAAGTAGCAGGAAAAAGAACAAAGAAGCATTTTATGAACTTTCACTCATAATTTATAACTACAATGCTGCACTTCAACTATGAACTTTATTTTGCAGGACAGACAAGGATGCCGTAGGCGAGGAGCTATTTCTTGCACGCTCGACAGCCGACAGTAATGTAAGATCATATCCCCTCAACTCAGAATCTCTGAACTCATGTTCATTGAAGTGATTCAGACGCTCTGATTCTACAATTGCATCATGAATTACGACCTTGACACAATTTGTTCAACACAGGATGACAAATTTGTTCAGGAGCAGCTAGCTGGAAATACCATTTCAGCAAAATCAAGGGGGAAAAAACAAACTAGCACAAGCGAACAGCCTGGTTCTTCAGATAAAACAGCACCCCATTTGGCATCATCTTCAACAAAATTTGGATCAGTAGGGTATACTTCGATCCAAACTCGTGCTATGGCAGCATTTCAGTCACTCCCATCTCCATCTCAGACACCAATTGATAGCAACCATCCAATTTCTTCATGTGCTGTGGCCTCCTACCAAAATCAAAACCCCCTTAATTATTTCCCACCAAACGCGTTCGTTCCTCTGATGTATTGGCCGCCTCCAAACTCATTCAATCCAGGGCTCTACCCTTCAGCTTATACATATCATTCTTTTCCATATAGTGGCAATTTTATCTCCTTCAATCAGCCTCATTGCAGCTTTCCCTATAGCCCCTTCACGCCAAAAGCTATGGAAGATGCAAAGAATGAGGATCTATTAAAAGAAACAGATAGTAATTCTGACACTACTTCAAGCAGTAAAGATTAAGACACAATGACAAGCAGTATAAACGGTAACCCGTCTCCTTTATAATATACTGCTTTATTTTAAGGTTCCATATCAGTTATTCCCTTACTTTTGTCTCTCTTTGAAAGTGGGTAAGCTGATGACCAAGTTTATTTGTAGCATTTTCATTCCTTTTAATGAACTTTCACTCATTTTGATAAGTTCTTGTTTAAATCAAGATGAAAATCATCAGTTTTAGGTGTTCTTATACTTTCTTGCAGTTGATTTCCTAAATGAGAAAGCAGCCTAGCATTGATTAGGCTCTTACTGTTAGGATAAATGCTCAAAGTTTAGACATGCATCTAGAGCGGGCTTGGTTCTACTTTAGCCTATAATTCAGTGTAGCTTGTTGGCAATATTGCAGTGCTTCCTGATCTCACCCTTTGTGCCAGTCAGAGGGTTGTTCTCAGAAAGGATGGCAATGGCTCGTGAGAATTCCTTACCACGGACCCACGGACCCACTTCTGGACACTTAGTTGTTGTCCAGAACCATGGGTTTTCCACGGACCCACCATTACTAAGTGAGTCAAAAACTTGACTCCGGCCATCTCAACTGCCCAAATCATTATCCTTCAACCTCATCCTCCCTCAGTTCTCTACTCCACTTGTTTCTCACTTATTTCTTACGAACCAGAACCACCATAGCCAATGAATGAAGATAAATCTTTACCCCAACAATAACTCGAAACCTTCTTTGCAGCCCCTCTTCTCCGCCAAGCCAGACCTCAGCTCCCTCCCCGGCAGCTAAACCATGTCCTGCTCAAACCTCACAATGTTGGTGTCCCCAAAACCCACCGTCTCTGATGCATCCTCCCTTTTCAGCTCCCTTCCCAGAGCTACCCAGCTCGTTCATTATCAGTTTCCCCAGTCCACTGCGGCCTTCGGGAGCTCCGAGACCGTATCGATTCCGTCAAGAACACCCAAAAGATCACTGAAGCCATGAAGCTTGTCGCAGCAGCCAAAGTCCGCAGAGCTCAAGAAGCTGTCGTTAATGGAAGACCCTTCTCAGAGGCCTTGGTCGAGGTCCTTTACAACATCAATGAACAACTCCAAACAGAGGACATTGACACTCCTCTAACCAAAGTTAGACCCGTCAAGAAAGTCGCATTGGTTGTTGTCACCGGCGACCGCGGCCTCTGTGGTGGCTTCAACAATTCCATCATCAAGAAAGCCGAAGCCAGAATCTCGGAATTGAAGGAATTGAGTCTTGACTACACTGTAATCAGCGTTGGTAAAAAGGGTAACACTTATTTCCTCCGCCGGCCGTACATTCCGGTGGATAAATTCCTCGAAGGCGGCACTCTTCCGACAGCCAAAGAAGCTCAAGCCATAGCTGATGATATTTTTTCCTTATTTGTAAGCGAGGAAGTCGATAAAGTAGAGCTTTTATACACAAAATTCGTGTCGTTAGTCAAATCCGACCCTGTAATTCATACCCTTCTTCCTCTGTGATGTGAACGGAATCTGTGTGGATGCGGCAGAGGATGAGTTCTTCAGATGAACAACAAAGGAAGGGAAATTGACGGTGGAACGGGATTCAGTGAGGGATTTTGGAGTTCGAGCAGGACCCAGTTCAGATCTTGGATGCTTTATTGCCTCTGTATTTGAACAGCCAGATTTTGAGGTCTGCAAGAGTCGCTGGCGAGTGAGCTCGCAGCTAGGATGAGTGCTATGAGCAATGCCACGGATAATGCTTCTGAGCTGAAGAGGACTTTGTCGATTGTGTATAATAGACAACGCCAAGCTAAGATTACTGGAGAAATTTTGGAGATTGTTGCTGGTGCTAATGCATTGACTTGAAATTTTTGTTAGTTTTTTTTTTTAAAAAATTTATATATATATATATATCTCTATATTCTTGATATCCTTCAATTATGGAATCTTAGAACATATTGTAAGTCTTTGTTCGTTTCTTCGCTCCCTATCCACTCGTCGGTGATGAGAGTGCAATCGAGATTTGAATTTGTCTAATCTGGAAAATCCCCTAGTGATTGGGGAATGTAGGAGATAATGACAGTGATTTCGTCTCATTAGATAAAGAGAGTTGAGAACAAAGATGGTATTTTTCGTCCCTGTTTTGCCCTGTTCTAATACTTATATATTATTGTGATATGAAAAAAAGGGGGAAAAATAAATATTATTCTTTTTGAAATTCAATTAAAGATAAATTTTAATGAGTGGTAAATTTTATTTCCATATTTGCATTTACAATAATAGTAATTATGATTTTGTAAATAAGATGGTTAAAAAAAAAATTGTGCCTATTTAAACGTAATGTACATCTTACAAGGGTTGTTCGAGGGCACATGAATTGATCAATATCACATCCAAATGATAGTGATCCTGAAGATATATTAGAGGAAATAACATCACATCCAAATGATAGTGATCCTGTAGATATATTAGAGGAAACAACGACTTGTTTCAATGTTGTTTTTAGTTTGGGGTAATCGGAATTCACCCATAATGATAAAAATATTGGGGTAATCAGAATTAACCCATAATAATAAAAATATTTGAAAATATGATATAATTGAAATTCAAAATTTCCATCCCAAGAGGGATAAACGTCTAAAAATAGTATATAATTGATAATTAGAGATAAAAAAAAACCAATTAAAAAATATAAAAAAATTACTATTTGTGGAATAATTTGTTTTTTAAAATTAAATTCTATTTATTTAAATGACGTCAAAAAAAAAAGAAAATAATAAACAATTAACTAATTTAGTTGAAAGAAAGCACCCAGTCAGAGTGCAACAAAAAGGAGCGAAATAAAAGCAGAATATTATTCCATTTTATTTTTATATTTATTTAAGCGCGAAAATAAAATCCATCAAATCTCCACGTAATTAATAATGTGAGAGAGAGAATAATATCTTAATGACGTGGCAAGCCGTTCCAATCCAATCAGCTCACAGACCATTTCTGACCGTTGATTTAATTCACCTTTTTCCAACCAAAAATCACAGACTAACCGACCATAATCTCGAGTTTGATAATTGGTACCCGCTTCGAATGGCTTTGAGCGAAGTCACTTCCTTAATTTTTTGCTGTTTATCGGCGAAGCCTTGCATGGTGTGTGCTTATTCAAACTCTCGTCCTTTTCCTCGTATCGGGATTTTGTTTTTTTTTTCCCTTTAATTATGATTCATTTGCGCGATTCTAGAGGGAGATTGATCGGGAGTGCGATCTGAAGCTTGTTTGGATGATCGTAGTTTTTAGTTGATCGAAGAAGAAGAGTGGGAAACGGGGTGGTTGATTTGTTTCTAATGGAGGTGGCGCTTCAGGCTCATGTGTCGAGGAGTTGGAGGAGGAGGAGGGATTTCTGTGAAGCACAAGCGGGGAGTTCGAAGTTTAGACTGTTTCATGGGAATAGACCGTCGTGTACTACTACTACTACACTGGTATTTTTCACTAATTTGGATCTTGTCCGT